TGCTTGAGTCCAAGGCGTAGAGAGTTGCTAGCAAGCTTGGGCCAAATTTAGCAGGCGCGACAAAGCTATTGCGAAATCAATTGCGATCGGTGATGATACAAGAACACCATCAGAGGCAAGAACATATAGCCATTGCACCCGCATGACAAAGAGTTGTAGAAATCATAACAAGCGCACAAGCATCAAGTGGCAAAAATCTGAATGAAGAAAGGGGTGTCTAAAGAAGTAACTACACCACGAGAGGGACAACTGATTTCGTTCTTTTAGCATCTAGGCCTCAGATCTCAACAAAACATTCTATACATGTTGAGCCCAGTTGCCAGCATGCACAGGTGCCGCTCCGTGAACTACCACGCAAGCTTTACCTGTAGCACTCACATGACTCACGCGGCAAAGATTGCCCGTGCCTTGGCATAGAGTGCCTTACCCTGAGCCGTCTTTCCATTCACAAGGCAGAAGCCCTTGATGCCCAGCTCTTTTCTGGCCTTCATCACAGCAGTGTTCCATGCAGAGATGTTCTTGTAGGCCTTCTTGCCAGCAGCGTTCTGCAACTTCGACACAACCTTGCCCCTCTTGTTCTTCATGAGATCGGTTTTGGCATGGCCTGATGCAGTCTTCTCCTTGTTGCCCTTGAAGACAGACACTTTTGCCAGCTTGCCTCGTGCAATCTTGCTCACAGCCTTCTTCTTCATGACCTTCATTGTTGTCGGCTTTGTAGCCTTTTTCATGGACTTCATAGCGGACTTCATCACGGACTTCTTCATGGGAAGAGCCATCTTGACCGAATGAAAATGCTTGGAGTCCAAGGCGTGGTGAGTTGCTAGGCAAGCTTGGGCCAATCGCAAGTATGGATATCCTTCAAGTCACTGTCCAATCAAATGAAGCCTCTTGAAAAAATCCTCTCAAAATATAGATATTCAAAAAAAACAGGGTCACCCTGCAAGAACAAAGTGGCAGTGTCTAGGCACAATAACAATCAATGACCCTGTGACCCTGTGTCTGCTTCTTTGGGATAGTGCAGTGACGAGCCTGTAAAACCAGGCTGAAACATGAAGCTGTGGGTTGTGCGCCTTCAAGAAGGGCTGGTCCGTAACCTACCGGTTTGACCCACCTCTCCCGTCGGAGACTTCCTCGGAGTCCCGGCGGCAGACAACATACTTCAGCAACTGCCCGATCTGGCCACAAGGATGCGGCCACCTGCCAAGGATCTCGGCATTTGATGAGGATCTGTCCAGAATCAATCAAAACTGAAGAAAAGACCTTCTTGAGTTTGCTTAAATACGTTGTTATCAATGAAGCTTGGACCCTCAGCTGCCCGACCTTTTGCAAGCAATAGAGCCGGCGGTTGTCGAGGGTGTACCACTTGTCCTAGAGCAGTAGGCGCTGCATCAACACAATAAATTGCCAGCATGCTGAATCTTCAAGTCTCCCCCGCAACCAGTGACCACAAAACCAGGCAACAGTTTGTATAGCCCTCATCATATAACCCTAAACCCTAAAGCTGAGCCAAAGCAAAGCCAACGCCATCGACAATGGCATAGCGTGTCTCCCAGACACTCCTCGGCATCAAGAAGTTCTCCGCCAGTTGCAGGGTCCACGAGAGGTCGACCTGCGATCGCTAAATGGGAAGACTCAGAGGCAGCCAGAGACCAACTATCCCTGTCTGAAAATGAACTAGGCCCTCAACAGAGTCAAACAGGAAACCCCTTCAAAAGTGAGAGAACATGCTCCATAAGTCAGGGGATCTTGTTTAAACTCAGTATTCGCAGTCTGAAGTATTCGCAGTCTGAAGGCTCCAACGATAGCTACAAGGTCTGGTTTGTTCCCAGTGCCTGAAAGTTTTTCTGAAAGGACATTTGTGTCTGGAATCTAGTATTCATCATTTATGGTTTGTAGTATAGTGTCAGTTGACGCCAATGACCCCTGTTTCAACCATAGAATGTGTCATCACACATGCCTGTTGCTTCGTCCCGCAGCTTACAGCGCCACTTCATCACCTTCACAAGCTGGACACAAAGGTGGGCCAAACTTCGATGTCTATCGAAATAGCATCGTGTTCACGGATCGCCGAATTTCGTGCCGCGGCACTTCTCCTGGCCTCGATGGGTGGAAAGGGAGCCTTGAGGCGCCACACCTTGATGCGAGAGTCCATGTCAACGAACCCGCAAATGGTTCCCGGTTGAGAAGAATGAGATCTTGATGTTTCACCAATTTCATCAATTTCACTTGTAAGTTTGGATATTATGATGAAGCCACATCAAGGTCTCAAATTTTGCCCCCTTCATGGTGTGATGATCAGGCTACTAAGCTGATGGCAGGCTTCTCTGACTCCTGGGCCACTAAGGGCGCACACTGCGACGCGCAAATCATTTTGCCTGGGTTGATTTCTGAGTTATTCACTGGCCACTGACGAAACAATGGAAAGTAATCGTCTTTGGGGGGGTCCATCTGTGATAGCCAGCTTGTGCCCAACATGAAACATGACGCCAGAGTGCTCCCTTCACTTCACAGACTTCCAGCTTCAAATCGGTCACATCCACCCATTTCATGGGAGCATTAAGACACCAAACCCTCCCACTTGAAAAATTATTCAAAAGAATTTTATGAGGTGCAAAGTTTCCTCCAGCGCTACGGTCCACTTGAAGACCCCAAGCTGTTGGTGCTGGGCAGTAAAAGTAAACAGCACCACTCGCACAGCTAGAAGCATCATGGTTTACAGGAATCGGTTTCGGTCCTCACACGATCCGCTCCAGGGCACTTTCTGGATTTCCTCGATTGCCTAGGAAGAATTCCGCCCTCACTCGCTCCCTGCCTGAAAAGCACACTCTCAGTTTGAGTAAAGGGAGTCTTGGATGCTCCCGCTTGGGTGCACAGGATAACAAAGGCGCTTGGGCCTCGCACTTTCTCCAGCGACCGCCCATCACGAAAAAGGGGGTTCGCTCGCATCTGGGAAAAATGCACCTGCGGAGTGGGGAGCATGTGAAATGCGAGGTGTGAGTTCTTCTGTGCTCAATTGTTCATGCCTTTGGGATCACTGCATCCTGACTTCCACCCACAAATCCCAGCAATTTCGACGAGACTGTGTAGAGCTCCTTGGTTCTCAGGTTGCAAGCCTCCAAAGGAGACATCTCGGCATCCGCCACTGGGATTCTTTGCCTGTGCAGAAATGAAAAATTCAGGATTGCAAGCTTATTGGAAACATGTAAAATTGGTTGTCTGAACTAGTAACTAGACGTGTGGTCGGCAAGTGGGAACCAAGTCATTCTTCGACACACCCCCACATGTTCAAAGTCAAAACGTGTAAATCATTCATAGATGTTGCGTCGAAACCATAATGAGAGAAAGTCCATCCAACCAGACTGCCGCCTCTTTGTGCTCTTTGCATCTTCCGATTCATCCTGGATCACATGACTCAGAAACAAGAAGACCATGGACGAACAGGGTGCAACAGCAGCCTGCGGTTTGTCCTTTCAAGGCGTGCCTAATACACCAACCGGTTTTCAGAACCAAGAAGCAAAACGCCATGAAAGTCCTCGACATCATCCTGGACACATAGAAACGGAGGAAATTGAATGTCAAAACTCAGCAAGAAGCTCTCATCTCAAACCAATGTCAAGCAGCTCTGACAGCACCCCGTGCAGCCTCGCTGGACGCGTCGTCTTTTCCATCTTCCATCCGGACGAGAAACACCAACTTAAAGTCTTTTTGTTGCATCTTCACAAAAGTCTGTGCGCCACTCGTTGTTGCTCTCCTTTGTCCAGTTTAGTTTTCTTCAGAAACAGTCCAAGAACAGGGACAATACTAGGGAAACTGATCATTTTGAAACTGGTCATTACCTTCTTGCAGGGAGAAGCAGAGTTGTCTGCAGAACAGCCAAATCCATAAACCAGTGGCACTCAAACACTGTTGGATCAAAAGGCAACCAAATTCAGCACAAACAAAACATGTTGATGACTCGAAGCTTGCAAGAGCACCGAAAGTTGAGGTTTCAAAGGAAAATACGAAAAGGTCTCTTGGAGAATACGGAGATTTCTGAAAGAAAAGTAGAGAGGCTTGGGGCATGGATTTTTGGAGACAGGTTGGTTTCATTACAAATCACTACTGACCACTTCAGCACACTAAGGTTCACCAGGTGGCAATCAGCACAATACACACCATGTAACGCACACCCAAAACACCGCGCAGTTCACATGACCCATCACCGCAGGACGCATCCCATCATTCGGATGGACTGCACGTCACTGCACAGCAATTCACAAAACAAAGCAAGGCATGACAAATCACGCACACTCACTTGTGGACGCTGCAAGACTCGGGGTACCAGCTTGGATGAATGCCACTCTCTTCAAAGCTTCCTCTGGGCATGTCGTTGCAGAAAGCAGGGTGGAAGCTTGCACTCAACAGGTCAGCTTGTGCAATTTGTGGGGAGAGTCTCCATCAAGAGTGGGGAAAAACACCAACAAACAAGAACACAAAAACAAAACCAAAGCCCCCAAAACCAAAAACGAAACCGACCAGCAGAGAACCAAGGATGGAGACTCTCCAAAGAAAGAAAACCTGAATGTACATGCATAGGTGAGACAAAAAGTGAAACCGAGGTTGGGCAATGAAGGCAATCTGGTTGGAAGAGGTGGGAGGACAAACAGAACCCGAAGAAATGTTCGACTCGATCCATTGGGGTGGACACGGAAACTCGCACACCAATCTGCACTTCGGATTCACAATGCACATCCGAGAGCCGGCTCTTTCTCATGTTTTCACCTTGTTGATCAAATGATATATCTTATTGTTGACAATCGCAAGCCGGAGGACATTGCACACTGGCCAGCCTTCGCGTCCTGGTGGTCCTCTCGTCGTAAACTAGTCGGCCCCCAAGAAGAGATGACTCATGTCCTTTCGGTGTGTGCTGACAGCGAGTCGGGTCTACGGGACATCCCTTACTACTGGGCTGGAGTGTTTGTTCTCGAGGCTGCACGGGTCCTGTTTCCCACACAGCACTTTGCACTTATTGATAACGACTGTGTGCCGGTCACCCTGTTCAAATCCAAGGAGCTTGTAGCTCTCGCCGAGAATCAGCACCAATGGGCAGACCTCGTAGGACATGATCGAACCCCCAAGGACTCTGCCTCGAAAATGGGCATGCTCCTCTTTACCGAGGCGCGCCTGGAATACTATGCAGGTTTAGTCTTGTCATTAGGCAGCACTCATCGAGCCAGGTCAACATCAGAATCGCTTGCTGGTGAGCTACTCGACTACCGAAAAACACTGTTAGCTACAGCGTGTCCCCCCCGAAACCCTAGCGATGCTGCCATGAGTGGATTATTGTTTACTCCCCTGTTGGGGGTGCCCATGCATAGTGCCCTGGACATTTGCGTTGCGTGGGCTATCATGGGGATTTTCATGTGCAAAACCTTTTGGCCGCGTCCAATGCTGTCATCCCCGCACCAAGCTAGTGACACAGGAAGCATCACTGGCCAAAAAGGGCTCACCCTCACGCTCTCACTGAAGCCGGGAAATCGCGCACCCCGTGGCTCACTAGTTGGGCTCGGCCTCCCCAGTTCAAGAACACGCGTGGACATAAGTGTTCGCAGGGTGTGGAGAACACGTGCCTGCGGCGCTGCAAAACCATGGAAAATCAGCGGTGTGGAAAACTTCTGTCGCGCACCTGCAGAAACAATCGAAACTCTTGCTATTTTTCGCCCAGTGACCAAAATTTTGCCGACAAAACGGCCCCCGTTTTGGGGTCCAAAAACGGACCCCAAAATGGAGGCCACTCATTCAGTCTCAATTTGATTTGCTTGTGTCCGGACGACTTGGCCCCCGTTTTGGGGTCCAGAAACGGACCCCAAAACGGGGGGCCGTATAGTCGGCGAAATTTTTGCCGCCGGGCGAGAAATACTGTAAGTTTCGATTGTTTCCGCAGGTACGCGACAGAAGTTTTGCGCTGGGCCACTGGCTTTCCATGGTTTTGCAGCGCAGCGAGCAATTGTTCTCCACGCCCTGCGAACGTTTATGCCCACAAATAATCTTGAACTGGGGAGGCCCACTTTGGCGACCCTGGAATCCACTGCGTTTTTGGCGCTTGGTTTTGGGGCCGTCAATGGGCAAGATTTTCGCACGCCGCGTGATCCGCTTGGCCGCTTCACATTGTTCCTGTGGGAGAATAGAATTATTTATACAATAAAACAAGTTTGCAGGACCACTATGTCGACTTGCTTGTGGACACTAGTCACTAGTGACTAGTGGTCTCCAGTCCGACCTGCTTGTGGTGGAAGCGAGGCCCCGTGGGCAATTTTTTTGGGCAAGTGCAACAAAGAAGTGGACAATTATCGATTGGAAAGTTAACGTGTCAAAACCTGCGGTGAACACCAATCTCCGGCCCAATGGCCACACACGCGCATATTCGCCGGGAAAACAAAACTGGTTCTCCAACCGAGGTCCTCTACCCAAACCTACCACCAAGAACCAAACAACATCCAACAGACTTACACAAAGCCAACCTTTTCAAATTCACCCAAACCAACAAACGACGAGCAACCGACCAACCAAAACACTGGGCGTTGTTGTCACCATGCCAGAATAACCGGGTCGCGACGCAAGCGAAAATCTTGTCCACTGGCGGCCCCAAAATCAAGGACCAAAAACGCAATGGGTTCCGGGGTCGCCAAAGTGGGCCTCCCCAGTTCAAGTTCAACTGGGGAGGCCCTCCATGGCGAGACCGGTTTTTGGACCCCAAAATGAAGGCCACAAATTCCGCCGAAAACGCAATTCATCTTTGGATACGTCAATGGCCAAGCCCACGCCCAAGAATTTGTTAAGAATGGTTGAGCGCGAAGTAGACTTGGAATGCCTTGGGTTAAGGTTGCGTTTCGTGGCTTTCTGTTGGTCTTTGTGTAGTTCCTCACTCCGATCCAATTAAAACGTTGTAAAACGCAAACGGGGTGTCGGTACCGCACATTGTAATACCCCGAGCGGTACCGAGGCGGTACCGAGGCGGTACCGCGCATTGTAATAGAGGGCCCGAGCGGTACCGAGGCGGTACCGAGGCGGTACCGCGCATTGTAATAGAGGGCCCGAGCGGTACCGAGGCCTTTCCGCGCGTTGTAATAGAGGGCCCGAGCGGTACCGAGGCGGTACTGCGCATTGTAATAAAGGGCCCGAGCCGTAATGAAGTGGTACCGAGGCGGTACCGCGCACTGTAATAGACGGTCCACACCCAACCCAGAGCTTGATTGTAACCGCAAAAACCCTATATAGTGCGTTGCAAGGGAAAATTTGAACGTTGACGCCAAGATGGAACCGGGAACCGGGCGGAAGCCTGGCGTAGCTTGCAACAAACATCAAGGACGCGAGCTCAAAACCTCAACAATATCTTTTCAAAACCCCATCCTTCACAACATGCATCAAACAACGACGTCAAATAAAACGAAACAAGGTTTCCTTGCCACAGTGAACGACCAGAGATGGCTCCTGTGAACGTACGCAAACATGACAGGCTCCACGGCGTCAAACATTCGCTTAACATCTCCCCACCCTTCTTTCCTCGCATCCAAAATTAAGACAGACAACAAAATACGAAGAATGGGTTCACAACGTTTGGTCTCAGGGCGCTAGGTCGACTCACGGCGGACGTCCACCACAAGCTTTGTAGCAAACAAAAACGCATCAAGCGCGCAAGGCTGCAATCAGACTGCCGAAAAAAGCAGCTGACCATTGATCCGTAAGCTTGATTGCTTTCGATCATGAACATCGTACAGGCCAAACGCTTTCTCCCCAGCAATTTTCAACCCTCACAGGTTTTCCAAACTTTTTGCTCCCTGGCATGGAAAAAAGTGAGTTTGCTGGACACCAGTTTGGGGTCCAAAAACCCTGGCAAAAACCGGTCTCGCCACAGAGGGGCTTGCCAGTACGTACAGTGCGAAACTCTTGGTGTTTTGGTTGTGTGTTGGTTTTGTTTTGTTGTTTCCTCCAAACATGCAGAGTCTCTACCTTTAGAAAGATGACCTGTGCATCCCGCACACATGGCGTCTCCACTCGCGCAAAAAATAAAATGCATTCGGTAGTAGTTTGCAGCAAACATATGGAGATCCAGCCCGCGTTGACTTGTCTCTGCCAGAAGGCCTTCTGGTTGGTTTAGGATGTGCAGCAACAAGTCCGGACAGCCCTCTGAGTTTCCACCAAGCCCAGAGTGCAGCTGAGAGGTTGGAGGTCACAGAGCTCCACCAATAGAGTGCTATGCTTCCCACTTGTGCCCGCATATCGCAAGAAGTGCATGAGCCGCTCATAGGGATTCAGTATCCCATGCTGTGCAGTCAACGGCTTTTTTATTGCTAACTTACAGTGGGCTATTTGTGCGATGCGCTTATTAGTTTAGCGACATTCCTTAATGTGCTTTGAACGACCAAGGCAACAAGGCACATGCAAATAGTAC